GAACGTCGAGGAGAGCCCGCGAGCGGGAGGACACGTCCTCCGAGGCCCCCCCGCGACGGAGGGAGTACGGCGTCACCTTCAGCTGCGCCAGGCCCAAGCCGTGGAGGCAGCTGTTCCAGACCAGGAGGAAGTCGGCGTAGCAGAACATGAAGAGCCGCTCCCGCTCCCCCCTGTTGGCCTTCAGCAGGCGCAGCGCAGGCTCCAGCAGGCGGTGCCGCGGCAGGTCCAGGGCGACGCTGGTGTCGAACTCGCCGGTCTTGCCAAGCACGTCTAGCTCGCTCGCACGGATCAGGATGGCCCAGAAGCGGCATGCCCCCCTCTCGCCCGGCACGGGCGGCACCAGCTGTAGGCCGAGGAGGCTGAGAGCCTCGCTCGGCCGCATGTACGTCTCGAACGTCAGCAGCAGGAAGAGGGCGTAGTCCGCCTTGCCGTCGGCGCAGAGCCGCAGGGCCATCAGCACGGCCAGCGACCGAGGGACTGGCGGGCGCGACAACGGCATCTCGAGCCGGCGCCAACCAGTGACCGCAGCAGTCGCCAGCGGCAGGCCCCGGCGCAGCGGGCGCGGCAGCTCGGGCAGCGCCCAGCGCACTGCGGCCAGCGCGCTGGCAGCGCCCCCCTCGGGCAGCCCGCGGTCGTGCAGGAACTCCACGTACTGCTCCAGCAGCAGGTCCCACTCGCCCGCGGGGAGGCGCTGGGGGGCTCTGGACTCGTGCATCCACGCCAGCAGCTTGCGCAGGGCGTTCAGGCAGTTGCCCTGCGTCGTCGGCGTCACGGCCGCGGCGGCCAAGGAGCTGATGTGGAACCCCAGCACCTCCGCCTCCTCCGAGCTGCGGGCGGCAGAGTGCAGCGCTGAGCCCGGGCGCCGCCGCGCCGTCTCGCGGCGCTGCCGGCGTGCCGAGCCGGTCTCCCCGCGGTAGGGGGCCAGGCGTCCCGGCGCAGGATGGCGGCCCAAGCCCAGGGGGCCAGCAGCAGCCAGCGCGCGGCAGGGCAGCCGGCCCGAAGCCAGCGCGGGCTGCAGAGGGGGCGGGCTGGCCGGGCAGGCGTGGCGGCGCGGCAGGGCGATGCCCTCCAGCCGCGGCCTCCCGCCGGCCACGCCGCCCTTCGTCTCTGGCGCCACCAGGGGGCGCAGCACCCGACTCGGGGCAGAGGGGGCCCGGCTCGGCCCCTGGCTCGGCGCTGGCACCAGCGCCCTGCAGAGCAGCGGGTTCGGGCCCGGGGAGCCCCGCGGCGAAAGGCCCCGCAAAGGCCCGCCGCTTGGAGCGCCCAGCCGCGAGCTGCTCGCGAAGCCCAGCAGCGCCCGCTGGCCCGTGGAGCCGCGCCTCGGCGAGCGCGATCGGCCGAGGGAAGGGCGAGTCGCCGCAAACATCCTCGAGCCGAGGCGGCGGCTGGCGACCGAGATCAACGTCCGCAGGGCGATCCGCTGAGGGAGCAAGGGCGGTGTGAAAGTGACGAGCATGATGAGACGAAGATGGGTCGTATCTCCTGCTGGGCTCGTCCGCCGAGTTCCACTCCGAAGGAATCCACCGAAAAGAAACACGTGCTCCGAGGGCCAAGCTCATGGCGCAAAACTCGCGGCACCTCCGCAGCAGGTACCACGACGAGCTCCGCCCCTTGCACGAGGTGAGGACCCAGGCCATTGAGTCAGACAAAACTAAGTGCCGCTTCTGGGCGCTCAGGCGGCTGCGGGCCAGCCGCCGAACCTGCCACAGGGCTGCCTCCGCCTCGAGCGCGAGGATCTTGTCCTTGCGCCTCCAGCGGCGAGCTGCCACCACGCCCCAGTCGCCCCCGCGCGCCAGAGCCGACGGCACCTCCTCGAAGGCGGAGCGCAGCCCCAGCGCCCGCAGCTGCTCGGACGAGGCGTCGACGATGTCGCTCAGCGAGGGCTCAGCCCCCCCCCCCCCCTCGACCAGGCAGCGCGGGCGGCGGGAGGTGCGCAACGCCCCTCGGTACCGCCCCCGCTCTGAGGCGCGGCCAACGCGGCCCACCTCGGCGGGGGGCCAGGCCTTCTCGGCGACGCCAAAGCCATGCAGCGAGGCGTCGACCGAGGCGACTGCGGGAGACCAGGGCAGGCTCATGTCGGCGACGGCGAGCGGCAGCAGCGCCCAGGCAGCTCGGAGCTCGCGCCGCACAGAGGCCCACACGCGCGCCGGCTGCCCGAAGTAGCGGTCGGCGAAGACGTACACGGCCGAGAAGATGGACAGCATCTCTGGTCGCAGCAGCATGATGACCGAGGCATGGCCGACGGCGCGAGCAATCTGACGCCCCGTGCGGCGCTGCCGACCCCAGCCCAGAGCGCGGAGGGCCAGTGCGACCTTCCAGAACTTCCTCGCCGGCGGCCGCCACTGAGTGCCCGTCGAGTCCAACTCGAACCCGAGCAACGGTGCGCCGTCGGGCTCTGGCGAGGCGTCAACTCCAGCGGCCGCCACGGCGCCCAGCATGTGCTCCAGGCGAGCGTTCGCCTCCGCGGCGCTCGTGCCAAGGGCCGCGAAGTTGTCGATGTAGATGAGCGAGGCCCCCGAGCCAGGGCAGACGGGCTCGCGCGGCACGCACTGGGCCAGCCAGCGGTCCGCCGGGGCACAGGGGCGAAGGATCTCCATCATAACATGCTGTATGAAGTAGACCGCCCATGACCAGCCCATCGGCACCACTCTGAGGCGCAGGCGCACCAAGCCATCAGGCGGGCGCGCCCCAACCAGCTGGCGAGCGGCGAGCGGCAGCGCGGCCCAGGGCACAGGCGGCAGGCCGAAGGCCTCACGCAGGTGCACTGGCAGCAAGAACTGGTAGAAGCAGCACGCGACGTCGCCCTGGGCCACGAAGAGGCGCCCCCCCTCCTGCAGCTCGATGCTGCCGAGGGCCTGCGCCGCTGCCAAGGGGGCGTAGTCGGGCTCCGCGAACTCCGTGTTCGAGGCCCTGGTGTCGAAGATCAGCCTGAGGGCCCCGCCCCTCTTGTAGACGAAGAAGGGCGCCACCTGTGAAAACGAAGTGCCAACCTCGAGCATGTCACGCTCGAGGAGATCAGCCAAAAACTTCCCATAAGTGCGAGGATTGCTTGCCAGCCTTCGATCAAAAGCCAATTTCGCCAACGACGAAGAAGATGTGGAGCCCCTCGTCAGCAAGGTGCCAGACTCACCCATCAGCAAAGAGCGGGGCCCCGCCGGCAGCGCAGCAGCTAGCTCCACCGCGCCAGAGGCCACGCGCGGAAGTGAGACCTTCCCGCGCTGGTAGGTGGCGTACTTCCCGCTGGCCATGTCGTCGAATCCATAGCCAGGATCGGAGCCGATCACAGCGCGCGTGGCCGAGTCGGCGGTCAGGTCCGTCGGGCAGCTGGGCACGGCGGCGCAGGAGCTGCGAAGCCGCTCCAGCGCGTCGGTCTGGGGACCAGAGGCTGCTCCAGCCCGCCGAACAGCGCCGCGCCCTCCCATCTCATTGAGGGTCTGCAGTCCTGCCGAGAGCCACTCCGAGCCCATCGCATCCCCTTGACGCGGCACAGGCGAGGTGGGCGCTGGCAGAGGCAGCAGGTCCCTGGGATCTGCCGCAAGACCTGGCGGCATAGCGGCGGCGCAAGCGCTCAGCCGCCTCCCCTGGTGGTGTAGAAGCGGCGCCCAGCCGGGGGGGCTCCGGGGCCGCTGCAGGATAGCACGGGAGTGGGAGGCGCCAGCCCTGCCCCCCCGAGCCAGCGCCCGGGGTGCCAGTCTGGCCGCCCTTGCCCTTCTTGTTGTCCTTGAGCTTCTTCTCGTCGGCGCCGAACGTCTGGCCAGCACCGCCGCCGCCGCCGCCGCCGCCCGAGGCCGCCGCCGCCAGAGCCCGCTCCTCGCGGCCCTTGCGGCGCTCCTTAAGCACGGCAGCCTGCTCCTCCATGCGCTTCGCCACCCAGCGCTCCAGCTCGGGCGAGATGAGGGCGTGGCCCTTGGCGCGGTCGCCGCCGAGGAACAAGTGCCTCTCGGCCGCGAGCCCCGCCGCCACCGAGACCTCCGTGGAGGCGCGGATCCGCTCCTGGTACCGCTCCTCCCAGAGCTGGTAGCGGCGGGCCATGCTCTCGAAGCAGGCCAAGTTGCAAATGTTGAGCTGGTCGTACTGCAGGCCGTGCTGGAGGCACTCCGAGAGGAAGAGGTGCTCGTCGATCCCTGGGTCCGACGAGGTCGCCCCGAGCGCCTGCCTCCACCAATGGTGGCGAGGCACTGGGGCCATGCCGCTGTTGGCGAAGGCCTCGATGAGCCACTGCACCGTGCGGGGGCCCTCCACAGGCCAGGCGTCGTCCAGGACCTCCTCGCGCAGCAGGTGACGAGCTGACTCGAAGCTGCGAGTGCGCTCCCCGCGCACGTTGCATTCGACCGCCAGGGTGCGAAGGTCCTCCGCTGCAGCCGCCTCGCCCTCGCCAGCTGGCAACGGCGTCGGCGGGTCGCGGCAGAGACGGTACCACACTCCCTCACGGCACAGCAGTGCCTGGCCCGAGACGCCGAAGGCGATGTCCGAGGGGCGGATGGTGACGCTCTCACCGCGCCTGCGGGGGCCCTGGTTCTCGCCAACGAACCACTCGGAGCCCACGAGGCAGGTGTGGGCCGCCAGCGAGCCGGGGTCGTAGAAGGCCGGGTCCACGTCAGCAGCTGGCACCAGCGAGCCGACCGCGGGGGCAGGCACGGCGCCAGTGTCGGCGATAGGCGCGGGCCCCAGCCCCCCTCCGACGGCCGCTGGAGGCGCGCCAGCCCAACCAGCCAGGTAGGCCTCGGCCCTCCGGCGGAAGGCGCTGGCGTCGGCGATGTCCCCAGGGCGGAAGGCGTAGCGGAAAGCCCTGTGCCCCGGAAGACGGTTCGGGATGCCACCAGCAACGCCACTAGGCAGCGCATCCTCGTAGTCCTCCTCGTACACGTCGCCGTCGGGCGTGAGCACCACATGGCCGCCGGCGGTGCGCCGCAGCACGAGGCGCTCGTGCCAGACCCCCTCCGACGAGTCGAACAGGGCCCAGAAGCGTCTCCCTGCAGCCACCGCGAGGCCATCTGCCATCAGGCGAGCGGCGGAGCTCCGCCTTCAAGCCTGCCGCGAGCTCCTGCCGGCAGCGTCAGCTGCTTGGTCGCCTCCAGGCCCGCGGCCACCACGAACGGAGACGACGGTCTCGGCGGCGTCCACCAGCGGGCCGCGCACCAGCCCGTCACGAGCTGCCCCACCGCGACGGCGAGCAGCTGGGCGGTGGACCAGCCAGGGGACCCGCAGTCGCACTGGCAGCCGCAGATGGGCGCCGGGGGCGCGGAGCGTGCCAGCAGGCAGAAGGAGCCTATGGAGAAGGCACAGGCGACTGTGGACGGGTCGACCGGCATCCTTGTTCGGACAGAAAAAGGCTTGAGAGACAGTGTCCATGGCGATCGTCAACATTACCATTGACATTAGCATGACGATGACGACAACGACGACGACGACGACGACGACGACGACGAGGACGACGACGACGACGACGACGACGACGACGACGACGACGGCGGCGGGGGCGGGGGCGGGGGCGGGGTCGGGGGCGGGGGCAGCGGCGACGGCGGTGGCCGCGACGGCGACGACGACGACGACGACGGGGACGACGACAACTACGACGGCGACGACGACGACGACGACGACGACGACGACGACGACGACGACGACGACGACGACGGCGACGACGACGACGACGACGACCGCAGTCTGGTGGGACTTCCAGGGTGCGGCGGCCAAAGGACCGCGCAGCGGCCTCCAGGGCGGCTGCCTCCAGCATGGTGATCTCCTTCTGCTCCTTGATAGAGTTGTCCAGCATGTCCTGCGGGCGGGGTCGTCGGCGTGCTGGTCGCCGTCGTCGTCGTCGTCGTCGTCGTCGTCGTCGTCGTCGTCGTCGTCGTCGTCGTCGTCCTCGTCGTCGTCCTCGTCGTCGTGATCGTGGTCGCTGTCCTGGTCGGTCGTGGTCGGTCGCCGTCGTCGTCGTCGTCGTGCGGGCGGCGCGGGAGAGCGGGCGGGAGAGGGGGGGAAGCGAGGGAACACCCTCGGTGGAGGAGGAGGAGGAGAACGCAGGTGTTGCTTCCCCTTCCGGTCTCCTCCCCCTCTGGAGGGGAAGAGGGAGGGAGAGCGAGAGAGGGCTCGGAGGGAGGGGGAGGAAGGGGATTGCAAAGCTGATGAAACTGAGCCTGTCAGGAACTGGCGGCGCTGCAGCTAAGGAGAATAATCCAGGCAAGCAAAGGAAATCAGGCTACGGGCACCAAATCAGCAAGGAAGGCACACGTGGATGTGCAGGCGTGGGCACGACACAGAAGCAAATGTGGCACAAGCTGGGAACATGATTGGCCCGCGAACCCAGAAGGAGTTTGGAAACGCAAGGCATGGCTACGTCTGATTGGGCGACAGGCAATTGCAGTGCTGAAGGTATCGATCGTGATGTACCGTGCCATTGATTGTGCTGTTCTGTGCTGTGAGGAAAAGAGATGCGTTATGCCGCGATGAATTGCGTTGTGCTCTATAGCATTGTAGATCATCCGAAACCTGACCGACCTGGTCTGGATCTTAAGCTCGAGCTGCTTGAGCGCACAGCTAGCCCAGAGCATGTTGCAGTCGAAACGAGTGGGACGCTCAATCAGGTCGAGCTCAAGATCCGAATCTGGCCCAAAGCGAGACGAGAGGAAACAGGGGCGCAGGGCGCATGGACGCGCCACGAAATGTGACAAGGGACGCGACACGGAACGGGCAGGGAAAGCGCCAGGGGACAAGCCAGGAAACGTGACAGAGGACGAGCCAGGGGACGCGCCGAGGGGGGAGGGTGTATACGCCGTCCCGCTGTGTGGTGCTAGGAGCCCACGAGATTCCACGCTTGTCCCGCCCTGGGGCGTTAGGAATCCACGTGTTTTCACGCTTGTCCCGCTCTGGGGCGTTAGGAGCCGAGTCCCACTCAGGGGCGTTAGGAACACACGTGTTGTCACGCTTGTCACGCTCTGGGGCTTTAGGAACACACGTGCTGTCACGCTTGTCACGCTCTGGGGCGTCTGGTAGGAGTGCTGAAACCATCGCCGCACCTGAGACATCTGCTCCGAAAGCAGAGGATGTGATGGTCCGAAACAAGCAATCCGCCCGAGAAATCCCCACAATCTGGGCGCGAATCCTGGAGTCCCCACCCCTGGCGCCCCCTCTTTGGGGTGCCACAATGATACGCCTGCTGTATCGCGGTGAGCACTGGACCATCAATGAGCATGAGAGAGTCTGAGTCTGAGGATGAAAGGAGTATGAGTGTGAGTTAGTCTGAGTGTGATTGAGTGCGGGAGTGAGTGAGTCTAAGTGTCAGTGGGTCTGAGTATGAGTGGGTCTGCATGTATTTACCAACTCTGAGTATGAGTGAGTTTGAGTCTGAGTGAGCCTGGCTGTGAATGAGTGTGAGTGTGAGCGGTCAGAGTACGAGGGAGTCTGAGTGTGAGTGAGTTTGAGTGTGAGTGGGTCTGAGTATGACTGAGTCTCACTCTGATTGCGGAAGAGGAGGAAGACGAGCAGGTGATGAGGAGGAGGGTTTGTTCTCGAAGCCGTCTGAGTACTAACAAGATCCCCCATGCACTGTCGGAACCCAGGCGCCTGAACCCCTGGGCCACGTACATGGAGGTATACAATATATACATATATATATATATACATGAATGAATAATATACATATTGTGTGAGAGAAAGAGACAGAGAAACAAAACAACTGTGTCAACCTATACCTACCTACCTACCTACCTACAGGCATGCATGCATGCATGCAAACATGCATGAGCACATACATTCATACATGCATGCGTGCATGCCTGCATGTCTGAATGCATACATACATACATCCATACCTTCATGAATACAGGCATGCATACACACATACGCACACATGCATACACATACATGCATACATGCATGCATGCAGACATAAATGCGCACGTACACCTATGCGCGCATACATACATAAATACATACCTGTACGCACACAGACAATCATACAAACATATACACATAAATACAGTCATGCATGCATAAATACACACATAAATGCATACGTACATACGTACGTACACACGTGCGTGCATGCATGCATGCATGCATACATGTACTCGCATATCCGTACATACCTACATACACGCATGCAAACATGCATGCATGCAAACATACGTACGTACAGCTATATACACACATAAATGCATGCATGCATACATACATACAGATAGACAGACAGGCAGGCATACATGTATACACGCATACATAAATACATACACACATGCATACATGCATGCACACATGGCTACATTCATACAATAACACATACAACAAAAAATACATACATGTATGCATAGATGCATGCATGCATACATACATATATACATAAAACATATTACACCAGACAAGCAGCCCAGTCAGTGGATGGTTTGAAAATTTGTAGTGAGTATGAGAACGATCTTGAGATCGACAGTGAGCACCATGGTGCCAGCACTGGTTGGGAAACATACACACGTACAAACATACATCAATGCATACGTACAGTCATACAGTCATGCATGCATGAATGCAGATGTATGTATACACATGCATACATACATGCATACACACATTACATTACATTCCATTACATTACAATACATACATAGATACGTACCTACATACACACATACATGAATACATACGTACATGCATACAACACATTGCATTGCATTGCGCTACATTAAAATAAGTGACGTTACATTACATACATTGCATACGTGCATACAGACATACATGCATGCATGACCGCATGCATTCATACGTACATACTTATATACATGCGTGCATACATACATACATACCTGCAGACATGCATACATGCACACATACATACAGACAGACAGTCATACAGAAATACACATACATACATGCATACGTACATGCATACATACAGACATGCATACAAACATACATGCATGCATACATACATGCATACAGACCTACCGATATGTGAGTACATGAATACTGATACTTGTATACTTACATACATGCATTCATGCAAGCATACATGCATGCAAACATACAGACATACACATGTCCATGACCTTATACATTTCCATACATGCATGTATGCATACATACATACATACATCTCTACATACAGACACGCACTATATGCATTACACACGTTTCATACATACATACATGGATGCATGCATACATATATACGTATATACAGACATGTATGCATGCATACACACATGGATGTATACATATATATATATATGTGTGCATATATGCACGTGTACATACATTCCTATAAAAAAAGCATGCATACAGGCAGACAGTCCCACATACATAACTACACAGACATAAATCCATACAAACATACATACATACTTGCATGCACACATTCATACCTACAGATATATATATATATATATGTATATGTGTATGCTTGCATGCATGTATGCATGCATACCTACATACCTAAATGTGGATGTGTGTATACATACATATACATACACCCCCGCAGAGCCATTGGGCAGGTTAGACACTCAGCGCGTCATTCGGGAATGTCTCTTGGCGTCTTTGTGGTATGAGTTTTGAAGCCCCTCAGGGCCTCTTGGAAGCCTCCTTAGGGCCTCTTTTGGGCCTCCTGGGGGCCTCTTGGGGGACTCTCGGCGGCCTCGGGGGTCAGCTTGGAACGGCACCTCGGGTTCCCCGTCGTGGGCCTTCCTTGGGGCTCTCCTGGGGCCCTCCTGCGTCTCGGGAGCCTCTTGGGCCGTCTTGGGGCCACCTTGGGCCGTCTTGGGCCGTCTTGGGGTCTCCTTGGGGACCTCTTGGGCCGTCCCGGGCGATGTTGGGGGTCACTTGGGCTGTCTTCGACGCGGTGAAGACTCAAAAAGTGAGTGTGGTGAACAAGCACGTTTCCCCGAAGGAGTTGGACGATTCCTGGCCTCGAGAGGCTGTCTTAAGGAGCCTCCAGGGGCTCTCTTGTGGCTCCTGGGGCGTCTCGTGGGCCGTCGGGATGCCACGTGCGGCCATCTTGGAGCGCTCCTGGGGCAGGCTGGGAGCGTCTTGGGAGCCTCACGAATGCCTGGAGGCCATCTTGGACGCTTCGGGAGCGATCTTAAGCCGTCTCGGGGCCTTGGGGGGCCGCCCAGAGAGCGCCCAGGGGCGGGGGGTACCGTCGTTCGGGAATCTACTGACCAAGGTCAATCCAAACCTGGGTAAGTCAGGCGTTGCAGGATCCTGCATGATCCTGCAGGATCCTGCAAGATCCTGAACCCAAACCTGGGTCAGTGCGCCCCTAGCCTTGCAGAATCCTGCAAGATCTGGCGCTCTGACAGATCCCCGTTTGAATTGACCCCCGTCTTTTGAGCACCGTGTCGTACAAGGGGGGCTGGCCCAGGTCCCCAGGGCTGGGATCTCCCAAAACTGTACATACATACATACATACATACATACATACATACATACATACATACATACATACATACATACATACATACATACATACATACATACATACATACATATATACATACATACATACATACATACATGCATGCATGCATGCATGCATGCATGCATACATACATACATACACACATGCATACAGACAGCATACATACATACATACATACATACATACATACATACATACAAACATACATACAAACATACATACATATATACATACATACATGTGAGCGCACATACACACTTACAATTATATATTTACTTATACATAAACATATATACATATACATATATATAGTGAGGATATGTACAGAAACATAAGGATAAACATCTACGACAGAACGCGTTTCACGG